TCTGAACTTAGTTATGAAATTTTGTTGTTAAAAAATGGAAGCATAAACACAGTGAATCTTTGTTTTTTAAAATTCGTTCTAACATGTAAAAGTTGCTATTCCATCTCGTAACACACTGTTGGATTATCTTGAGCTTTGGTTGATTAAGTTTTTCTTGTAGATTAGCAAGTTCATCTTGAGCTACATTAGAGTGGTGAAAATGTGTTGCTATCTTTTTACATTTGTTAATGACTGCAATGATAGATTCTTGTGACTTAAGCCCTTCACAGGAAAACAAGTTGAATTTGGTGCGATAAACAATCAATGTTTTTAATATTTAATAAAGAAATACCTTTTTTCATGTTAGTATTACACAATACATAATACCTTTTCTTTGGGAATTCCCCATGATGACAACATAGTTTCTAGCTTTACGGCTATATTTTCTCCTGTATGTCGCCCATCATTAAATACTTCAGATTTCAAAACAATCATTTTTCTTCAAAACTTTTGGTAATTCCGTGACAAGTGAAACTTATCAGCGATACCCCAGAGCAAGAATCAGACCAGATATAAAACTCTTTTTTCAAATGATTTGATTAATTCCTTTTATCTTTTACTTGCCATATAATTTTTCGCAAATAAACGAAGTAAAATATTGCCGAGATTTTAAATTATACGAGGGGCACACTTGGTTAATCAATCTCATCAAATCCAAGGCATTCCACAAAACTAAATGGTAAGTCCTCCAGTGCAATCATTTCGAAATTAAATTATCTAGCTCCAAAGACTTGGTGTTGTTGTTATCCCATTTTTTATTTTTTTCGATGCAATCACCTAAAGATATTTGCTTAAGGTCGGTTTTGGTACATTGTCGCGAAGAGGACGCCAAAGAATTTATTTTAGCAGCAAATTTCATGCTCTCTTCTTTTCAATTCGTCATATTCATTTTTGTGTTTATTTCTATGATTTCGCATAGCACTAGTGGTCCTGCCATTGCGCCTAAAAAAAAAAATACCACAACTTTTTATCACACAACTTGCAATTTACATTTTCAGCATCATATATTGTGAAATAAGTCCAAACTTCGCTAACACGTGCTTTACTCATGTTTTTATACCACTTTGTCACTTGAATATCAGTTAAATTTGGGAAATGCAATAACACCAAACTTCAAATCAAAACAATACTTTTCGAATGAACTTTCTGAGATAACTTCGTTCATTCAACCTTGTTCGGCTCGAATGTTCAATTTAAACATGGCCGACACGAAATTCAAACATTTTGCGCGCGCTTTATTTGAAAAATTTAACATTCGTTTCGCATTCGCGAATATTGAAGATGAATATTCGCATTCGCATTCGCATTCGCGAATGTGAAAAATCCAACATTCGTTACATCACTAGTGGTAATTCTATTTCTCTTCTATTTTTAATCTTGAGAGATTGTTTTAAGCCGTTTTGTTTATTTTTATGTGTAACTTATTTCAGATCGGCAAGAGACAGCTATGGGGATATGATGCTATCGGTTACGTACAAGTTAAAAGAGTAAATGATGTGTGTACGGTCAAATGTAAAATCACGCCAGAACACCGCGTAGAGGAGGAATTAAGAAAAGTTTCAATATTGTAATTAGTTTCAAAGTTACAAGAGATCTTCGAACACATGTCCGAAGTGCCCAAACCTCCCGGCGGTCGGGAGGTTTGGGCACCCATGTAGGGAGGTTTGGGCACTGTATTTAATATGCACGAAATTGCTTTACTATACTACTAGGCTTAAGTATTATATAACATTACTATAAAAAATTGTAATACAAACATTTTTTCTTATCATAGATTTTAGAAAAATTTAACAATGTGACTTAGAATCAGTACTACACGATGTTAGACTTAATTAAACTTATCTTATATTTGGTATGATCCATAGAGGCTTGTCAAATTTATATTTTAAGCTGCCACGTTTCATCCATGTCGTTGGTGTAGGCAATTTTGTCTTTATATCCTCCAGGACACTGGCTACGTCCTCGATGTCAGGAAATATAAAAGTATTTCTTAACTTACTCACTCTCATAAATTTTACAGTTGTCATCGTCTGATTAACATCTTCAATTATTCCAACATAATGGTAGACAGTTTTTTTGGTGTCAAATTTCACTAATACAAAGTTATTGATCTGGAAATTTCTATCCAGAACGATCACATCGTCTTCATCAAAATCTTCCGATTCAACAACGGTTTCGTCAGAAACTGAAACATTTTCTATTTCATCATCGCTGCTAATTTTCCTGTTTTTCTCTGGTTTGGAAGTAAATTCATCAGCAAGTTTCGGAATTTTTTTCTGTCCTGTATTTTTGAAGCATTTTCTATTTTTGTTGAGCTCTTGAATCTTATTTTTTCTTTGTCTTTCTTCTTCTTCCATTTCTATAAGTCTTTTCTCGGGTGTGTCCGTCAATATTCTAGTTTTTCCCTTCTTCCATTTCATACCCTGCAATTTCCTGGGGCCGGCCTTCGGATACGGTCTTACTACATCAGGTGTTACATTGACAGTGCCACTAATTTGACTTGTAGAGGGAGATTCCAGTTGAGATGGCCCAATGACTTCCACATTTGAACTTGTACGATCCTCTAGACTCTGATTTTCCCCTGTTGAAGGCTGTTCAGTGACAGGTTGGTCTGAAATAGATTGTTCTGAAGGAACATTACCCTCTTCCGACAAGCAGCGATCAGTTATACAAGCGAAATCTTCATCGGAGAAAATATTTGAATTCAATGGCCATATGCCAGATTTTTCAAATCCACTTTGAATATTCTGCAACTTGAATGCTAGTGGAAGGGCTTTTGCTGCTAATTTTGGTATTTCATAAATTGTTACTGTTTTGGCCGGATTGCTTACCATCCAATCTGTTACAGCAGTGTTATAATAAGTTTTCAGTGGTCCATAGACAGTCAGGTCTAGAGGTTGCAGTTTATGGCTGCAGTGTGATGGGAAAGTCATTAAAACAATGCCTGATTGTTTGCAAAAATCGAGAACTGGTACTGAAATATGGCTCTCATGATTGTCCAGCAGCAAAAGAACTGGCGATGAAGGCGTTGGTTTTGCGTGTTTGGCGAAATGGTGAATATATTTTAAAAAATTTGGTGATGTCATCCACCCTGAAGGATGTGCTGCTCCATCTGAACCAACAGGGGCATCATTTAGCATAAATGTTTTGAAATTAACCCGTGGGAATATGAAAAATGGTGGTATTGAGTTACCCAATGCATTAATACCGCAGCAAACCGTTACAAGCGTCCCTCTTTCAGCTGACGTTACTTGCCCAACTTGCTTAGTGCCTCTGAGAGCAATCACTTTCTGGGTTCGTTGCACCGTTGATAATCCAGTTTCGTCTATATTGTAAATAGACTCAGGGCCGAAGCGATGCCGTTCATACACAGTTTTAAGATTTTCAAAAAAATTTCCGACATTTGTCTTATTGATGCTTGTGGCCCGTGACAGACTGGTAGCCTCTGGTGTCCTTATCGAAAGTTGAGGCTGTCTTTTAAAAAATCCCCTTATCCAGTCTTTGGATGCAAGTTTCTTCTCTGTCCAGTTATCTGGTATTTTCTTTTTAATGGCAGTGGCGTATTCATAAACCAATTCGCGTGTTTTCAGTTTTGATAGTCCATGGTTTAGTTTAAAAGATGTTACAAGATATTCCGAAATTTTCTCTTCTTCATCTTTTGTGAATATTTGAGACGATATAAATTTACAAGAATTATCTTTTACGACACCACCCTGCTTGATATACCTTTGCAGGTTAGATCTTGGTATGTCATATTTATTCGCAGTACTTTTAATTTTAGCACCTTTGGAAACTTCTTCCAATGCGCGCAAAATAATATCTTTAGGGATTTCACGTCGCTTATTTTTCTTTTTAAATGAAAACGGCATTGTCCTAAAAAGAAATGATTAACCACTCAATCCAATAGGCATAGCAAAAAGACACCAAAATACACTAAAAACAGAGGGAGCATTGGGCATGCCCAAACCTCCCTCCTACCTGCGTGCCCAATGTTCCCCATAACCTCACTTTTCAAATAGATTAGAATAAGATTATTTTTATCAAATGTAGAAACCTAATTTACAGGCAAATATAATATTCATTAAACACAAAAGAAAAAGATAACACAGATACTTACACGTTCTTGCAGATTTCTTTGATAAGTTACATCAAATCACAAATAAAATATTTACTTCTGTACGCAGCAAACCGTTACGCGCATGTAACTTGACAACCAAGTGAAATGACAGCTGACACTTTAGATAAGCGGTGTTGCTAGTGAATAAAGTATAGTGCTGTGGTAGAAAACAAAAAATATCTATGAAAGTTTTGGAGAAATGAGGGGGTGCCCAAACCTCCCGACTGCCCAATGCTCCCCTACCTCCCCTACGTACCACACCTTATCGTTGCAGTTTAGATTGCAATGAAAAGGACCAAGAAGTTTTAAACGTAACTTGGGAAGATTGTACCGCCAGCATAGGTGGCTATAAACATGCTATAGCATTTTTAATGTAGCTACATCGTCGAAGTGAGGAACCTTCAACGACTGCTATCAAATGTTATTGGAAAAAATCTAATATATATGCGGACAGGGACAAGTGAAACGCAAGGCTGCTGTTAACGCACTGACTTATATTGTCCTTGAAACAGTATTATAAGCGCGTGGCGCAGCACGCATACATATACGTACGTAACAATTCCTCCCCCATAAATATTAATTAAATACATAAAACAACTTTTTATAATCAACCCTGGGACATTACGTTTTGACCTCCGATTAGGTTCGACTGGCGTAATAACTTCTACTTCCGTTGGCTGTTGAGTACTTTCTGCCTCTTGGAAGTCATCCTCATCATCTGATTGTACCGGATGGCGAACATCTCTAGTGGTCGTCACCCACGCTGGTGACGTCTCCGCTGCTCCATCATGGAGCTGTTGCGTTGTGGCTGTGGTAGCGGCAGTAACTACTGGAGGAGTACTTGCTACTTGTCTCCTCCTTCCCCAGATATTAGGTCGCTGGAATCAATCGGGCTGAGCGATGATGGTCTGAATGTTGGACCTGTAAATTGGGATTCCATGTCTTCCTCATTCCTCACATCAGGTAGAGACGATTCCGTGCAGTCCCCGAGCTGTTTGCTATCATTTACATTTTTATATAACCATATCTGGTTTTTATGTTTTTTTACAGTTGCGGCTGTCTTACAGTCCTTCAACAAATATAAACGCCTACCTAAACGTTGTAACACAATTGCTTTACACCATGAAAACTTGTCCTTACTACTATATTTCTTATACAATACATACTGTCCGGATGATAAGGGTATGTTTTTTCCACCTTCCCTTTTTTAACCTGTGAACACTGTTTCGATTTGACCTTAGCGGCTGGTGAGGTCGACGAGGGCAACGCTACAGCTGGATTTAGTATTTCCAATCGCGTTTCCAGTTTACGGCCTAAAACTAGTTGTGCCTGTGATGTGGTTGTCATGGAATGTATGGAATTACGATAATCAAACAGATATCTCAATAAATTTATTTTATTGTCTTTTGCGTTTTTTGATTTTAAAAACTTAACTTAATACCTTTTTTTTACAATTTTGACGTAACATTCGGCCTGGCCGTTGCTCGCCGGGTGGTACGGCGGCGACGTCACATGAGAAATTCCATTTAATTTACAAAAATATTCAAATTCTTATGAACAAAAAGCCGTGCCATTATCCGTTACCAATGTTCGGGGTAATCCAAACCTTGACATAAACTCGCATAATTTCTCTATAACCGCAATTGAAGCACAAATATTCATTTCATATACTTCTACCCACTTAGAATACGCATCAACGATGACTAAAAATGTACGACCGTGTAACGGCTCCAGAAAATCTAAATGAACTCTATGGAAGAGGTGCGGGGGGTACGGCCACGGGGATATAGTGGCTCGTGGTGGGGACGGCCGCATTTGGAGACATATGTCGCAGGAACCTATCATTTCCTCGAGGGTCTTTTTTCTTCTAACACAACTTGTAATTTTTCCTAAATGGAATAGGTAGATTCATCTGGATATCGGATGAAGGTGGACAGTATACAAGTGATTTAAGTATAGATGCTATAGCTGGAACAGTAAGCTTTATGATTTTAGTAACAGAACTAGTCGACAAACCAAAATCTAAGGCCAGAATAGTATTAGATTGATATAAGCGTATTTTTTTTCAAAGTCATTATATTTCGCGGAGTACATTTTGTTGATTCAGATAACATATTTATACAAAAATAGCATTCTTTAGGTAAACCTAACAACAGTTGCGGTTCTCTAGATATGGATAAAAGAGCAGCCTTTTGCATATAGTTTCTAAAAAACTGTATTTCGTATTCCGAGTTCTCCGTATCTGAATCTATATTAGGATTCTTTGATTGTTGATTAATGTTATACATTTTATGTGAAGAGGCGTTAGAAGATGTGTCATTCATACTACGAACTGACACTGCATCAGGAGAACATATTATTTTTTTCTCTTTTTTAAAATATTTATTAACAGTCATGGTTGATTTATGGACATTTTTAGTTTTCAGCTTTATTTGCACACCTTTACTTTTTTTGATATTTCTAAGCACTGACCGACACTTACTGGATCCTCTATTATTATTTCGTCTTCACAGCAAGAAACAAATATCTCTTTAGGCTTTTCTGACGCCGAAGTTTCGTCTTCGTTTAATAGTTTTACAAAAAAAATTATTTGATTACGTTTTCGCACTGCAGACCTTTCAGGTTTATCTTCCTTTTCTTGTTGACATTTGAATTTGTGAGGAACAATAACCTTTTTTAGTTTAATTCTTCCCCCAAACATCTTATATTTAGTATAGTTGTACATATCATTCTCAATCTAAAACAAGAAAAATCTCATAAAGCAGATTTTTATTCAAGCAGAGCAGTAGCAAAAGTCTAGTATAGTTTAAAAATGTGTAAAAATTAAAAGGATGACCCAAAGCAGTTGCATTGTTCTCAAAATATTATAATAAGATCTATGTATAAACATAACAGTAAATCTAAAAGTTCTGAAACCAAAGGTTGTGCGCCTCTGACCTGATTTGATGTTTATACGTAAATACTAAATAAATGCAAACTACAAAAGATTATAATAATCATTATTATGTACCTACATTAAAGATAATTAGTATAGGTACTTACGTCAAAATGATGTTCACAACAATAAACTGCTTTTATCTCCAAATTGATCTAACCTCTTCATAGCTTTTATCCATTTCTTTCGCATTCGGACGTCCATCGGAACGATAAAAAAACAATTTATCAGGCGCATTGGTGGTTGTATTTATACATTTCGGCACAACACATGATTTTCTAGTAGCCCAACATAAAATACAAAAATTTAAAAAAAATTTACATTTTCTTCACAGTGTTGGAAATAAATTTATATAAAGTCTTGAATAGTGCAGGCCTTGATAAGATCTCTTCTAGAGATTTCGGTACTTCATTACTATGCTCTTGAATCTCGTGAATGAGTAATAATCTGTCTAGTCCGTATTTTCTACATTTGAATATAATATGATTCAAATTTCATCTTCATTACAGTGAGGACATTTTGGGTTGTGAACCATTTTCAGTCTATACAGGTGAGTGCGAGTTTGATTATGACCAAATCTCATACGGTTAATAGTCGTGATAAATTGTCTGCAAAATTTATAAAAATTTACAATATCAAAGAATATATTGGAATTACCCTTAAATAAATTCAAAACATCTGTTAATTCATATTTACTGAACAAAGCTTATTACTCACTAAACGTTTATTTGAATTATAATATTGTGTTGAATGAACATAGAGGTTCATATACATAATTGTATTTGAGTAATAAATTCTGTCATTGTTAAAAAAAATATATTGATAGATTAAAAGTTACGTTTAACATCATGTTCGTATTTTATTAAAAATATCCATTAAAATCTAGATCATTTCACTCGGAATATCTCCCAATTCAACAGGTTATGGGCCCAGATGATTTGAGAGCCAAATCCAGAAGTTGATAGGGAGTCAACTCAGTATGTCTCTTGTAAAGACTGGACAGTCTGTCTGACGTCAAATCGAAATCCCCGAGCTTTATTATCTTCTTAGGCAGCCCAGTGAACTTAGGAATCAATCTAAACCCGGAAGCCAGACTCTTTATCAAAGGATGGACCTCTCTGCTACTTTCAGGTCCTTTGCCCCCTTTTCTTACTGGTGGAGACTTTCTCCCTGCCTCTGTAGCACCAGAAGAATCAGAAGCTGGAGACAAATACTCGTTCGTGACATTGAAGATGTAAGATTTTTGGGTCTTCCCTTTCTCGACAGAAACAATTCCGGGAATAGATGTGTATTTCTTGATTGTTTCTTCCAAGATGTCCCGAACTCTATAGACTGCAGCATTAGATTCAAGGAAAGATAGATCAACCTCAATCTTTCGATCATCAATGTGGACTAGATCACGCTTACCTGAACTACTCAACATCTGTGTTACCACCTTTGAGATTGCTCCACTCTCTTGATATGCTGCAGTTGCTCCCTCATCTGAATAATCTAAACTGTGCTCATCGTCAGAATCATGTGGATAATCTGAGTCCATATCCGTGTTCTCCTTAGAACAAGATTGATAAGAAGATTCTTTTCGAATTTGTTCTTCCCAGATATCATGTACTTTCTGATGAGACACCAAATGGTCTTCTGGGTGCGCCTCTTCGGCATACGGGTTGTTATCATCACAGGCTTCTGAGTCATGCTTTGGCAGCTGAACATTCCAATTTTGCTTCTCGGCTAAGCTCTTCGCAGACGACAAATCAGGTACGGTAAACATCTCGTTTATTTTTACTTAAGTTTTTTTCATAAAGAGCTGGAAAATGAATTTGAAATGACGTTGAATACAGAACCTAGTTTATTTCTAGGAATAGAAATTAATAAAAATGAAAATAATCATATTACATTAACACAAGAAAATTACATTAACAAAATAATAAATAAATTTGAAATGAAAGATGCTAAAAGTACTCCAATACCAATGTGCATCGGAGCAAACAAAATAGAGACAGAAGATGAAGAAATTGATTTTAATAATTCGTATTTTCCTTACAGAGAACTTATAGGGTCGCTATTATATGTTGCTAATAAAACTCGTCCTGATATAGCATTTGCGGTCAATTTTTGTAGTAGACGAGTGGAAAAACCAACAAAGCAAGATGTCATTAATGGAAAACGAATATTAAGGTACCTGCTAGGGACATCAAATTCAGGTATTAAATTTTATAACAGTAATCTACATTTAGAGGCTTATTGTAATGCTAATGATCCACATACAAGAAAGAGCACAACAGGCTATATAATCTTTCTATGTGGAGGTCCTATTACATGGTCATCAAGACAACAGCCCATAGTTGCCATGTCATCATCGGAATCCGAATATATAGCTGCTGCAGATTGTTGCCGGGAGTTAATGTACCTAAAAAACTTAATTAGTGAGGTAGTAAATGAAGAAGTTAATGCAACGCTTTATGTAGATAATCAAAGTACAATTCATTTAATTAACAACGGTATTATGAACAGAAGATCAAAGCACATCGATGTCAGATATCATTATATACACGAAAAAGTCAGTGAAGGACTTTTAAAAATAAAATATTGCCCCTCTGAGCATCAAATTGCTGATATTCTGACAAAGCCTCTTGGAAATGTAAAATTTTCTTATTTAAACTCTTATATTATTTCTTAGTTTATAAAACAAAATTAAGGGGGCAACTATACAAGTAATTTTATTTTATTTTAAGACAGAAGTTTTTTTTTATTTGTTTATTGTAATAGTTATAGTTCAGTGAGTAAGTAATATTAATATTTTTTTTATAAGTAGTTTTCTCAAAATGTTTAGTGGTGTTCTTAAATACTTAGTTCTTAAATACATGTAAATTAAAATACAATTAAGGGGGCATGTTGAATGAACATAGAGGTTCATATACATAATTGTATTTGAGTAATAAATTCTGTCATTGTTAAAAAAAATATATTGATAGATTAAAAGTTACGTTTAACATCATGTTCGTATTTTATTAAAAATATCCATTAAAATCTAGATCATTTCACTCGGAATATCTCCCAATTCAACATATTGTGCATGGCAATAGTTATTCATGTACGCGATTTTCATTTAATGTTAAACAAAGACACCTATATAAATACCTATACATTGTAAAAAAAACTGGCTTTAAAAAAAAGTAATTCAATTGAGTTTTTTGCCAGTTCCTCTCAATTGGATCTATATACCGAACTGGACGGTAGGGAAAAAAAATTATAATGTAGGAAAACTTGACGTTCAGTCAGGCTTTCCAACAAATAAATTATTAAAAAAAATGATCACCTAGGGGGTATGGTGACAAAAAGTTTTAGTTCTGATCTCGGCACTATTTGCTACGGACTGCTAAACAAAAAGAAACCTTGGTAAAACAAGTGAAGAAATTAACTGCTAAGTGTCCTGAATATTAAATGATGTACAGGAGCTGGTTTTAATACCACTACCACCTTTAGAAATATATCAGATGATCTCCTTCATTATACTTGTAGTCGCAGAGCATAAATAATAGAACGTCGTCATAAAATGTCTAAACCTGCTAACTAATCAGAAACTCATATTTATGATGATGAACGCCTAGAAGAATTTATAAATAAGCTAGGCGGCTTCTTTCGCATTTTTGTTCAACTAACAACAGAGTTTTAGTTAGAACACAAATCTGACCAAAAACAAAAACCTAGACGCTCAGAGTGGAAAAAGTCACATCAGTCATAAAAAGGACCGCTCGTCCTCGCATTCCATACTAAGGAGGCTAGGTACCTAGAGGATAATGATGATTCTTCTAAATAAATACAAACTAAAGTATTAATTGGTATGATTTCAAAATACCAATACTAAGTATTTAAGGAAACAGTAATTGATTGATTTGATTTATTGATTGATAAA